AACCCACAACCTTCTGACTCAGGAAGCGAGAGTGCTACCAACTGAGCCAGGCCAACACCAGCGCCTTGACACGTCCTCCATCGTGAAAGGCGTTTTACAAATGTAATTTTGTTGTTGTTGTTGCCTTATTACTTAGTCGAATCACTTCTTATAAAGTTAGGACAATATCTCATTGTCTAGTCATGAAAACAGACGAGTTCTGAACAATGCAGAGTATTAAATTGACTACAGCTGTAAAGCTTGGCTTATTTCACTTTAGTAGCACAGACGTTTTGGTGAACGCTCTCTGCACCCTTGAAGATGAAAGTCACCACCTAGTGGGTGAGCTGAGAAGCGATGAATGTGTTTGGTTGGGAAAGGCAACAAGGGCAAACATGTCCAATACTGATCCCAGTGGCTGGGAGCACACAGGAGCTTGGAGATATAATATTGAGACACTAATACATCAACAACTAACTGCTCCTGAAGTTACAATCCAGCATGCAATTTTTTAAAATTCAAGTGTCCTGGGGGGGGTGGGGGGGGAGGTGGAAGGTGGTGGGAATGAGATAAGGGAGGGAACCAAGTGAAATGTTCCTGTGAACAATGTGAAGCCCTGTGTGAAAAGTCTAATCCTGTAAAGGTATGCAGAGAGGCAATTTGCAGATTTCCCATAGTCCAGTGCATCTACCAGCAACCTTGGCAAGTTCCGACTTGCTTTGTGTTTAATCTTTTGGACATAAGAGGTGGAATTCCAGCTGACAGCATTGTCTGGGAGAGAATTCCACAGACAGGAGGAGGAGCAGCTTGAAATAGTTTGCTGCTGATACCTTGTCATTGCCCTCGAGCAGAGTTGTGCCATCTCTTGTGATCCCAACATAAACACACTGTAGTTTGGCTACGATCGCGGGTAACCTCATGTGGTGCTGTTGCTCTGCTCGTAACCCTGTGAACACCTGGCAGCTCTAAGCTCACACACATATTTCTCACAGACACATTAAACTGAGGCATAACACAGTTACTGGGTTTCCATCTCCAAATCCACTTGAAACTTTGCCACTCCACTCCAAATATTTCAGTCAAATCCACTTAGGGAATGTTTTTGTATATTTCAGTTTACAGTGAAACATTCCACTGTCCTCTCTTTGTCTCATTGCAATGACATACATCAGAATGCATCAGAAAAATCTAAAAGTATTTAATATTAGAATGACTTTTCCATTTTCCAAATAAACAATCTGATTAAAGAACTTGATTTCATCTTGTTTATGTATTTATCTTCTATTCAAGTTTAAGCCCATACACATTGGGCAGAGAGTATATATTTATTTTGGAAATACTTATTTAGATTTGTAAATAGCCATGCTTGATATGCTTCTAAATCAAGTCCTGTTTATATTCCACTTACAAGTTATGTCAGCCTGATGCAGTGATAGCACTCTTGCGTCTGAGTGGGTTCAAGACCACATCAGAACTTGGAATCACATAGCTGAGGGTGTGCTGTATTGCTGCATGTGCGGTTCTTCGGATGAGACATTAAACTGAGGTTCTGTCTGCCTGTTTATGTGGACGTTAAAGATCCCTTGGCACTATTTCAAAAAAGAAGGGAGTTTCCCCAGGGACATTCACTCCATGGCAGTTTATGGGACATTGCTGAGCGCAAAACTGGCTGCCGCATTTCATCCCAAAAATACAATCAAACCGTTTTACAGTATATCCTGTGAATTGCTTTGAGCCATCTCGATGACATGATAAGGTGCTATAGCAAATACAAATGCAAGGATTATACATTTCTCTTTGTTGTATTTTTGTGATTAATTTGCATTCAGTGGGTCACAATGGTACAGGTGCGTCTACACTGCAGTTGAAGCGCTTACCTTAACTTAATTTCTGCAAGGAACATTTATCCAAACATTTTTGTTCAACTTTGCACTGTCTGACATATTAGATACATCAATGCAGCCCTAGTAATGAAGATTCTTGATCTGCAATGAGTGAAGTTTAGTGGGACTAATATATGAATGTAATTAGATACAAAATTCAGTGGTAAATTATATGTGAAAATAGATTAATATGTTTTTAATTGGTTCAGCCTGGTTGAATGAATAACACAATATCTGCCTTTCCAGCCTATTAGCTCTTGGACTATTCATTATTCTGTGTTTAATGTATTGTAAATCTATTGGAGTTATTTTAGATTCAAATGCAAGGATTATTATTAATATGTGTACTTATATAATCTTTATCTTGCATAGATTCAACAAATCTCAGGCATTTATATATACTAGGAACACAGGTGTGGGATTGCAGCATAAACCCGTGAGAGTTCCTTCTGAATACTTCCCTTAATTTAATCTAGCTAAATGCTACATGTTTATCAGAGGAGGAAGCCAACGGTTATTAGAAAACAATTTGCAACATTGAAGGATGTGATTATTTCAACATGAGGTAATGGGAACTTGTGAGTTAGAAAAACTGTTTACAAAAACATTGGATTTCCAGTAAGAAACTGTCACCAGCCAATCGGTGACAGCTATTTAATTTGAATCAGCTATTAAGAACCAATAATTAATAACCATCCTTCTCACATGCAATTGGTAGCATTGCATGTCAAATGATCAGCTTGTGAGTATCCTCCTGGGAGTGGGGAGGGGAAATAAGTAGGGTCTCCTTGGAGCTTAGCTGATTACAAAGTAATATGATTGGAAATGCAAGATCCAAATTGAGTCAATGATGGTCGCAGTAATCCTCTTCCTGAACCAGGCGAGTCTACACTTCTCTAAGATACTGCTGATGACAGACCAGCTAGCCATTTTTTACAATGCACATATTTTACAAAGGTTAACCCAAACCAACTGTTTCTTCATATCCTTCAGCCAGTATTAGATAAGGCATTGGTTTAATGCTCATATTAACATGCAAACAAGATTAATTTCAGCACACTCCATAAATACACCTGCCACTAGATTTGTTTGCAATGCATTATTTACATTGATACCAATTCAATTTCCAATTAAAGAATTCAGAAATATTTACCATCACATTATTTGTTAATAGATTTTTTTTAACTGGGGGTAGCCTGGTTGCAGAAGGACATCTGTCTTTTCAGCCTCATAGCTCTTGTCTAAGGGAATACTATTCATTATTCTAAATTTAACATGTTATAAATCTACTGGAATTATCTTAGAAGGTAACTGAACTACTGGATCAGGGCTATCTATTGGATAAAAGTTACACAAGGCATTACATTATAGGATTTGACAGATTCAGGCCTCCAGTTCACAAGGAAGTCATATTTGTTTAATATCTCAACCAAGCACTATTTCCCAGATCAGTAATCACACATATTTATAGAATACATAATTTTTTATGTGTACTTCTATCTTAGATTAGGAATTATATCAGAAGGGTAAAGATGTTTCAATTCTATTACTGACGACTCTAGTGTAGTGAAGAAATCACAATGCTTGAGAATTTAAGGCAATTCCAATACTAGGAGGCATAGGCTTAAGATCAGAACTAAGACAAATATGACTGAGGTCAGGAAGTATTTCTTCACACAGATAGTTGCGAAGATGAGAATACTCTGCCCCAGAAGGCTGTACAATTGGAATCAATAGAGGTGTTTAAAAGAGAGATAATCAGATACTTGGGAAGTAGAAGTATAGTTTTATGTGGTTTGGTGGAAGGGCAGGGCACTGGAATTTGTAAATCTGCCAAGATTTAATAAGCTGGTGGAACAGGCTTGATAGCCTCCTGTGGTTTCTGTGTTTCAATATAAATGAATATAAGCATCATTTGTGTTTAATAAATACAAAATGTTCTTCTGCACCACCCAGAGACAGTTGTGTACTGTTACAATGTTAGCACTTGATTTTAAGAATTGGTTAGGTTATTTATTAGATTTTCCAAACCATTGCAAAAATAAGGAACCCCAGATGAATTCTTCTCCCTAGCTCATGCATGTGATTGTTGTTCAGGGGTAGTTTCCTGTGACTTTCTTATAATAACAATAATCCTTGCATTTGATACTGTGCCTTACCAAGTCAAAACATCTCAACATTGGCGAACACGGTAGCTGATTTGGGGACAGCAATGTCCCATTAACAGCTATAAAGTGAATGACTCAATTTCCCCCCAATGTTCTGGCCAACAATCAACATAGATTTTGATCAGAACACTGGGAAAAACTTCTTTCTCTTTTCAAATAATTCCATGAGATCTTGAATGGTTCACCTGAAGAGGCAAATGGGTCACCTTAACATTAACACCTTAACATCTGAAGAGCAGCACCTCCGATAATGCAGTGCTCCCCCCGAATTGCACTGGAGTGTATGACTATGTATTGGAGTGTGGACCATGAGTTCAAATTTCCAATATAGGGCATCTGAAAGCAACCCATTCAAAAGAGGGCCTGCCGAGCAATAAACTGAGGCAGAGACTGTACACAAATCATGGTTAACAGGCATTTCTTACCCAAGATAGTCTATCTGAGCCTTGATTTCACTGTTGAAAATCTAAGATAACATGAAACATCCTGAAGTGTCCACGCTTCAAGACAAGAGACTGACGTTTAGTCAAATGATGCGTTTGTGGAGAGGTGGTTGAACAATATTTGTGAAGGGCTGTCCCCAAATTATAAGGTCTCGGAAACATCTAACTCTGAAGTGCCTGAAATGCGTGTGTTTGCGTGGGGTGGGGAAAATAATTTTTGCGGGGTATATACACAATAATTATCATATCATACACTGCAAATTTACCCTATTTACTGTATTAATAAAAAAATTAATAAAACTAAGATATTATTGGAATTCAAAAAAAACTAGCTTTGTAATTAGTTCTTTCCATTGGCACTGTAAAAAAGATTGTTTTTTTCCACTCGTGTAGGATACAGAGTAGAGGTAATAAAAGCAATTTCCAGGGATTGCCAGAGAATGTGGGATGTCAGCCAAGACTGTTTTGCAAGCGAGGAAGTGGTGGTTACCATAACATCAGAAGATGATGACGCTATAGTTACTGCATATATTAAAAAAAATGAACTCGTTGTAAAATCTTTCACAGATGTTGAATGCTCACTGTCATGTAGCAATGGATCACCTAAAGAAACTGGGCGAAACCTACTTCCAAAAGATGTAAGTACCTTTTACTTTTCATTAGAAGTTGAACATTTTGAATTTCTAAATTTTTCTAAGTGTTCAAAAATGTATCTTGTTTCTTTTCTTGAAATAACAGTTTTAAAGAGAGAAGGAAGTTTCTCCCACTTTCCTGGCTAATAATCACTCAAATAAAACTGGTCATTGTCCAATGCCCTGGGATGTTTTTACGATGTGAAGGGTGTTATACAAGTATAATTTGTTGTTGTTTGTGTAATGTTGCAGTGCGCAAATTGGCTGCTACATTTGTCAACAAAATACACAGCCACTGTAGATAAATCCTGTACAGTGATTTGAGACGTCCTCCCAACATGAAAGCCACTATATCAAATGGAAGGATTTGTATTTTGTTATTTTCCTTTTTTACATACTCAAGATAGCACTTATTATGATACACATGTTTCTGTTCACTGTCATGTGTGCCACATCTCCAAATACAAACCAAATTGCTTTCCTGCCTTAAAGTTTCCATTCATTTTATTACAAAGAATGAGGTTGGGCAAAAATATTTTGGTTAAGTGAGCACTTTTCCGTTAAATTACTGAACAGATTGTAAACACAATCATCTGAACTCTCATTCTGTTAATTGCACATGATGCATCTTATACTGTTATATAAATCACTACGGCATTGATATCCTTTTCTCTTCTGAGAGATAGTCGTTATCTACAACAACAACAACTTACATTTATTTACTGCCTTTCATCAGGATGCTAGAGCTTTTGGAGTAAAGCTTGTGTGGTTTCATAACACATTCCTCACACTAGAAACGCACTATGAAATACTGTAAACATTACCCCAACAATGATGTTTACTTTGACTCACAGCAGAAAGTGGAAAAAGTTAAACCTTGCTCATTTTGTTCCAAAGAGCGAGTTTTACATCCTCAGAATGAACTACACAATATGCAACAACTACAACAACAACTTGCACTGATATAGTGCCCCACATGCTGTGTAGCGTCCCAGAGCGCTTAACAGTGGCTGAGCCTGACTCTGAGCTGGGGGGAAGGGGGAGGTGGCCGTAAGCACGGTTGAAGAGGATATAGCCCTGTTGCTGGCTATAAAAGTACTTTCAAATACTAAAAGGTAAATGAAGGTATATTCTCGTGTCGTCTTCTCAAGTCTGAATACATCTTAAACACAGTATATATTTTGGGGCCTAATTTGGTACATTTCTTAATAGCATTTCTTAATGAGGTACCTAATGTATACAGTTACTCCACAGGATCTGCTCTGAGGCAATCTACTTCTGGAACGGAGCTTGTGCAGATAGTCTGCAATCCTCTTATGAAATACTACCTTATTCAGTACATGTAGAAAAGCAGCTAAACCTTGGAGAGGTTACATATCTCTGAACAAATGGAATTTCTACCCACTTCTACACCACCAGATCATCAATATAAAAACAGTCACATTTCCAGTTTGTATTTCCAGTTTGTATTACAGTCACATTTGCAGTTTGAGATTGAAATTTTATAACCTTTTCCAAATGACTTTGAAGTTAAATAACTACATATTTAACTTGAATCAATCACAACAGTAGTTGGGACCCATAGTTCCACCTAATCCATAAATACATCATGCACTAAACTTTTCAATAATAACCCCACAGGCGAGAGGGATGTCGCTCAGGTATTTGGCAAAGACCTCAGCCATTGTTTTGAGAATAATGCACCACAGTTTTGAGGCAATGATCCAAAAGAAAAGTTCACGTAAGGCTCAAAAGGTGGATGCAAAGCAATACAATTGACACTCCTGTAGTATCTTACACATTGGGACCCAAAGCACTCGGCAATTCTGGCTGGGCACCGGAGCTGAGGGCGGGATCTGAGAAGGGGAAAGATAACTGAAAGCCCAGTCAAAGGGATATGGTTTGAGACCTATCTTGAAAGAGGGTTGGGAGGGAGGAAAGTTGTCCTAATGATGCTACGGGGGATAGAATGGGATTGTCGAGAAGGCCAGTGTCGGGCAAGCCATGAGAATGACCAGGTTTGAATGCGTGAAGGAGGTTGTAGGAGAAGGGTGGGTGAGACCACAGAGGGATTTACCTGTGAGAAATATTGGGAAATACTTCTCCTTCTCTCACCCTGAGAAATAATGAGTTAATATTGTACATCTGAGCTCAGTGCAGGTTTCCTTTAATAATAATCCTTGTATTTGATATAGCGCCTTATCACGCCTTCAAGACATCTCAAAGCGCTTCACACAGTATACTGTAAAGCAAATTGATTGTTTATTCTATGGGCGAAATGCGGCAGCCAATTGAGCACAGCAGTGCCTCACAAACAGTTGTGGTTTGAGTGACCAAATTTTTTTTAAGGGATTATTATCCCTGGAAAAGATCCGTGTTCCTACTTACTGCTAGGTAAACAGAGGTGTGTGGAGTAAGGAAACTTGCCTAATGTTTCACCCTGCCCAGGAATCAAACCTAGGTCCTCTCACTTGCAAGGCGAATGCTCTAACCATTAAGCTACAGGACTCTGATCATTTTGATTTAAGATCGCAAACGCATTCAAATGTGTCAACCAATCTATGGAATTGATATGACTTCTTGGATCAACAAAGATTATTTTTATAATTAGAGGTGATAAGTTTTGTTACTTTAAAATGAAAATTACTCTATATTGGAAATTAATTCTTTTTTCTCTCCACAGAACCCCTGTGCAGAAAATAGGTCAGCAGGATGTAGACTATATGCCTATGCTGAAGAGATACCTTGTGCTAAAATACATCCAGTACATGATTCTGCCGAGTACAAACATTATGGTTTTGGGTGCTGGGGCCTTTGGAACTCTGTACATTTCATTCTTGATGTTATCAAAAGTTGTAACCCGAAAATGTACCACAGTCTTCATTTCCCATCTGGTGACCTCAGATGCAGTGCTTTTGCCTGCTATCTTGGTTGAGGTTCTACACGAGGTTACTGACGTCAAACTTGCATCGAACTACTTCATCAAAGGACTTATTCACAACTTCGTGACAGTGAATGCACACACCAGTTCACTTATGCTAAGCTGCATTAGTCTGGAAGCTTTCCTCATAACTCAATTTCCAGTTCAATCACGCTTCATAAGGACTGTAAAACGTGCGAGAATGACAAGCACCCTCATCTGGATAGCAGTTCTCACAGAGTGCATTATTTTACAGACTGAATACTTCACCAGTTCTGATACGGTTTCTCTTGGTTTTGGAATTCCCCCTCTTTCTGGGTTATTCCATCTTTTCCTTGTGATCGCTCCTATTGTTAGGATGTTGTCTAATGCTCTGGTCATCTGCCTCAGGATCGTTAATGTATTTTTCTACTATAAAGTTTATATGACCAAATCGTACTCTAGGCATTTCTTAAAACGAAAAGCATAATTTTCTTCATATTGTATGTAAAGAAATATGAGCAGCATTAAACAAAGATTGTATTTATTGGGCGTTTTTTACAAATAATGTGATAAGTCCATGTTTAACATTTGTATTTAATACCGAGAAAAGTGTCTTTGGAAATTAAAATGAAGTCTGTGACTAATGTGGTTCCGTCAGTGTCTGTTGCTTTTGTGCTGAATGACTTTACGACTGAATCATTCTGGAAGATAGTCAAGCATGGATTCGTCAGCATGACTCAGAGAACAGCTGACCTTTACTTAGTTGGTAATGTACTGCTGGAACGAATTAGTGCTTTCAAGCAAAACAGTGGAAGTCTCTTCGTATGTCCGTCTATACTCAATAGGTCAGAAGTAAAAGTATATGACTCACTTCAGTATAGGCAGTGCCAAAAGTAACAAAATCACAAGCTCTTCAGTAAAGAGACTGTGGAGTCCTGTAGCATAGTGGTTAGCACGGTCACCCTCAAGCGAGTTGACCTGGGATCGATTCCTGGCAGGGCAAAACCTTGGGAAAGTTTAGTTACTCCACACACCTCTGTTTATCTAGCAGTAAATAGGAACCTGCTTGTTAGCCGATTGGCGTATTACTTTCCAGGAGTAATAATCTCTTTAAAAAAATCATAATAATTTTGTTATTCAATCTAAGATTGTTTGTGGGACACTGATATGAGCAACTGCTGCTGTGTTTCGCCCACAAAATACATAGTCAATCCACTTTACGGTATACCGACAATGTGATAAGGCGCTATATCAAATGTAAGGATTAAAGATAAAGACAGGATGGTTTCCAACTCTGGATTTCAAAGATCTATTGAAACACATGAAGTTTGAACAAAAAAATTACAATTAAAACTTTTATCTTAATCCATTTACTTTACGTGGCAAGAGACAGATTACCCACTACCCCTCATTTCTTTGCTGGAAAGTAAGGTGGGGGATGAATAGGATCTGTTCACAAATCTTGTGATAATAATAATAATCCTTGTATTTGATATAGTGCCTTTCATGTTTCAAAGCATTTCACAGAGTGTACTGTAAAGTGGAGTGACTGTGTGTTGTATAGGCAAACGTAGCAGCCAAATTGTGCATAGCAATGTCCCACAGACAGCTATTTGGGGGATTGTTAGCCAGACCACTAGGAAAAACTCCCTTCTCTTTGTGAACAGTGCCATGGGATCTTTAACACCCACCTGAAAAGGCACTGTTGATTATTTTGATTGATTCATTCATTTCCATTGCCTGGATCTGTCAAAAGGTTGGTAATAGAGGCAAAAATATCCAACTCCAAGTTGCAGAAAATGGCAGCCATCTGTTAACATCGCCAACACAGCTCAATGAAATAGATACTTTCTGCTGAAGCTGATGTTAATCATATATATATATATATTTACTGTTTGAAACCATCATTTTCTGTTCTATTAATTACTCACTTATTCCACAGTTGATTCATCAAAGTCCTATTCAATATACTTTTTCCAAATTTCACAGGAACCTTATTAAATTCCTGAGTCAGAAAAAAATATTATTATTGTGAGTAGGTGTCTGCTCAAATGTCATTTGCATTCAATTTACAGACATGTAGGTGTGTAATTGGTGGTGAATCGAATAGGTGTTGGCAGGTAGACATTCTGAAATGCTTCGTCAGTGAACTGCATTTTCTTCCATTCAGCCTGGAATGCAACTGTAGGCCAGTGTCTGATGGGTGTGGTAATCACACACAATGACTCACTTCATCACCAGGTAAATGCAATTCGATAATAAACAACAATAGCACTATATATAAAAGAGGAACTCAAGTCCCTTAATAAATGGACTCCAATGGCAGTTTGCATGTATGAATGTCAGGTAAGAACAAAATAGGATCAGAATATGGTGTTGAACTTATTCCACCATCAACTCTGATTCCTAAAAGTTCTACCTTCTCCTCATAACTATCATTCTCTTAACTATATAATAGCTAAATAATCCCTCCAAAAACCAAAAACAATAATAAAATTGGTCATTTTCAATCTACGGCTGTTTGTGGGACATTGCTGTGCGCAATTGGCTGCCGTGTTCGCCCACAAATATACAGTCGATTTACTTTACAGTGTATTCTGTGAAGCGCTTTGGGACGTCCTCCCGACGTGAAAAGCACTATATCAAATCCAAGGATTATTATTATTATTATTATTATATATCCTCTTTCTTCTGTATCGTCCAGTGAATCTGCTTTGCACCCATTCTCTGTCTTTGATATCCTTTCTATGGTGAGATAATTTCACAGAATATTCCAGCCAATGTCTTATTCATAACAACTTCTTACCCAGCGAACAATCTCTCAGAAAAAAATTGGTTATGCACTTCATTGCTGTGTGCGGCGGGGCATTGTTGTGTGCAAAAACAGTCTTTACTCATCACAGTAAATCCTCTGAAGCACTTTGAGATGTTCCCTCTACTTGAAAGCCATCAAATTCCCATCAAATGCAGGAATTATTTATTATTACTTTTGACTTAAACAACAACAACAAACTATATTTGTACAGCGTCTTTCACTCGGAAGGATGTCCCAAGGCGCTGGACAGTCAGTGTTTCGGACCTGAGCTGGGAGTTGGGATTGGGGAAAGTGGAGGGCGGGGGGGGGGGGGGGGGAAGGAGGGTGATCGAAAGCACGGTTGAAGAGAAGGGGTCAAGGTTGAGGGACTGTGGGATGGAGTTCCAGAGGGTGGGGGCAGAGTGGCTGAAGGCCCGCACACCAATAGTGGGGCGGGCGAGGCAGGCCCGTGAAGCAGGTCGGAGCCAGCGGAGTGGAGGGAGGCTGGAAGGGGTTAGGAGGTTGCAGAGATAGTGGGGAGTGAGGACATGCGGGCCTTTAAAGGTGAGGACCACGATCTCGAACTGTATCCTCTGTGTGATGAGAAGCCAGTGGAGTTGGGCAAGGATGGGGGTGATAGGGTCACGGAGCCTGGCGCAGTTGCTTTGGAACTTCCATAAAAACTCCNAAAAAAATTGGGCTTTCCAAAGAGCTGGTCTTAATTGAATTTTATTGGCAGCATTTATAGTGACCAACATTTTGCAGCTATAAATAGAATGTAAGTTGAACCTGAGTTGCTAGTTTGTCATTCTGGAACCAGATTATAATCAGACGTTACAGTGTCACCTACTGGTGTGCTAAATACATTCAGTGTTGGAAACAACTCACTCAAAAAGCTGGGCTGTGAACAAATGACCAAAATCGACATGCTCAGAAATAGACTACCTTTGTATTACAGATAATTTGTTTAAAATTAATTTGTTTCAGTAAACAGCCCAATTCAACAGAACCCCAATAACAACCTTGCTTAAACAAACCCCAAATCTCCGTCAACAAATGTTTGGTTAAAACATGACAATTGCATGGCAACCCAGACTTGTTTTCGTCAAAGTGGGAGCTGCCATTGGTGGTAAAGAAATTAGGCAATTGGTACAAGCTACATTGCACAACACTGGATTTTGTGTGGTTGCTAATGTCCTTGCAAAATGCATCGAGAACAGAACAACAACACTTCACATTTTTTTTAATTCAGCCGTGTGTCTGACACACGTAGAAACCTATCACCATGCTTACGATTATCCAAACCAAGCTGAGATTTCCATTCATCCCACCTACACATGGAAATCCTAGAGATAGATTGTTATATGGAATGCGCACTCTTTCCCTGGTGGGATGCATTCAACTGGATTTTGACAAAGGGAATATGTAGCAATATATAAGTATCATGAGTTACAGCATTTGTGTTCATATGGCGCACTAAACATAGGATACCATCTTGGAATGCTTTACAGTGATGTGGTCAAAAGACTAACAGAGGTTTGGCTATTGGCTCACATTTAATTTCATATAGACTATTATACTCTTAACGGACACTCTAAAATGGACTATTTATATGTACTTCAGCAGGAAAAACTATTGAGCAAAACTGCTTGAAAGGCATGATTCTTAAGCACGTTACAAATGATCCATTATTAGAATAGAAGAAATGAGAACTTTTGTTCAAAGCACTTATGCATCTCTAAGATCCGCTCCTTTCTCTCTCGCCATTCCCTCTTTGAACCCCTCCAATCTGGCTTCCGCGCTGCCCACAGCACGGAAACAGCCCTCGTCGAAGTCACCAATGACATTCTGAACATCTGTGATCAGGGCTCCCTCTGCCTCCTTGTGCTCCTCGACATCTCTGCCGCCTTCGACACTGTCGACCACTCCATCCTCATACACTACCTCTCTGCTTTACTCACAGATCTTCACAGATCTGCCCTTGCCTGGTTAGATTCTCACCATCTCCACTGTTGCCTCTAATGGTTTCTCCTCCAGCCCCCGCACTGTCCCATCTGGCGTCCCCCAGGGCTCTGTCCTATCCCTCTCCTCTTTAATATCTACATGCTCCCTCTTGGTGACATCATCTGCAGACATGAGGTCAACTTCCTCATGTATGCAGATGACACCCAACTCTATCTTTCTGTCTCCACCCTCAACTCCAGGACCACTGCTGTCCTGACAGTCTGCCTGTCAAACATCAAGTCCTGGATGAGGGCAAATTTCTTACAGTTGAATGTGAACAAGACTGAGGCCCTCCTGATTGGCTCTCGCCAGCATCTCAGCACCTCAAGCTCCGGCAACATCAACCTTCATGGTTGCACACTACAACTCACCAAGCCAGTCAGGAACCTAGGTTCTTGTTCGACCCTCCACTGTCTTCTCCCCACATTCAAGCCATGACCCGCTCTGCCTTCCCTCACATCTGTAACATCACCTGACTCCACCACTACCTCACCCCTCAGGCTGCTGAAACTCTTGTTCATGCCTTCATCACCTCCAGGCTCAACTATGCAAACTCCCTGCTTGTCGGCCTTCCAACTCCTCCCTCCACAGGCTGCAGATAATCCAGAACTCTGCAGCCCGTGTCCTCTCCCGCACCAAACTCCGTGATCCCATCTCCCCCATTCTCGCCCGACTCCACTGGCTCCCTATCCTTCAGAGGATCCAGTTCAAGATCCTGGTCCTCACAAACAAAGCCTTCCATGGCCTCGCCCCACCCTACCTCTACGACCTCCTAACCCCCTACCAACCCACCCGTTCCCTCCGCTCAGCCGGCTCTGACCTGCTCC